GGGACCAATCCCTCCAGTATCTTTCAGGTGTAGATTATGATGTATCTTTCTTGCTACGTTCTAAGAAGCACAGCTCTAGGTACTTCAGGTGCTCCCAGTAATTTAGGTGCTTGACTGAGGTAATGCAAGCTATGAAGGTTCTCGGTACACTTTCCAGTTCTGCAATTTCACCTGCCTTGAAGGGGGCCGTTAGTACACAGCAATATTCCAACTTCGAAAGAATGAGTGACCTGAAGAGTATTATCATTGGCTTGGCATCTCCTGTTTTTAAGGTTTTTAATTATCCACTGCGACCAAACATTGTCTTTCTCTTCAGATTTAATGCTTGTTTTAATGCAGCAGGTTAGCTCTTTTAGGACAACGCCACTGTAAGTTTTCCTCTTTCTTTTACTATGAAAGTTTGTATGCCCTTAGGCGGCATTCAATATGAATTTTCTGATAATTAAACTAGGTCTCGGTTGTTACAATATGTTTTCTGTGTATGCAATTACTCATAATTTGTGTGGTTTCTTGTGCTGCCATTTGTATAATAGTCTTTAGGAAACGTCCAGTCTCGTGTCTTGCTTTAATTCCACTTTACTTATTTACTAGTTACTGTCTGTTTAAACATCCTTATAAGTAATTTAATCCCTGAAAAAAGAGCACTAGCCACCCCCCTTTAGTAATACACAACGCTTACGCTATACCATATAATATACCATTATATCCGTTAAAATCTACACTCAGGAAATGTCTTGTGGTCGCTCCTTCCCAGCCAAGCCTTTGTGTGTCTCACCCCTGGTGGCCAACACCACAACTCTCGGCCCAATCGATCCTCTTTTGTTTCACCATCCCACTCACCACTAGCTATTTTAACAATATTATTATTATTATTATTATTATTATTATTATTATTATTATTATTATTATTATTATTATTATTATTATTATTATTATTATTGTTATTATTTCAATTTCTCAGGTCATACTGGACAGTGCTGGGTAGATTTTGCTGGTTCATGCTAGGCAGGTCCTACTTTGCCATACTAGGCAGGTCTTATTGGTTCATGCTATGCAGGTCCTACTGTACCATACTAGGCAGGTCTTATTGGTTCATGCTATGCAGGTCCTACTGTACCATACTAGGCAGGTCTTAATGGTTAATGCTAGGCAGGTCCTACTGATCCATAATAGGCAGGTTCCACTGGACTATACTACGCAGGTCTTACTGGACCATGATAGGCAGGACCTGCTATACTAGGCAGGTCCTACTAATCCATACTACGCAGGTTCTATTGGACTATTCTATTTAGGTTCTACTTATCCATTCTACACAGGTTCTTCTTATCCATTCCAGACAGGTTATACTTATCCATTCTAGGCAGGTTTTACTCAAAACTAACAGCTCCCTCTCATATAACTATCCAACCAAATTTCAAGCTACGCTAGCTGTTGACTGCAATGATATTAATTTCGAGTTTGTTACACTCATATCCTCAGCTTTAGTGCTAAAGTATCCTTTCTAAATCTAAATTTAGCCATTCTGAATCCGCTGTAAAGAGCTATATCTAACGTATATTTAGCACTTTATTTATATCCCTTTCATTTATGTTTATCTTCCACTCGCACACGTCACTCGCATCTCCCCTTCCACTGACTCACGTCTTTCAAGAGAGACTCAGTTCAAAGTGGAAGAAGGAAGGGCGTATGGAAGGAATGCGGAGAGGCGAGGGAGGAATAAGGAAGTTGCAAGAGGGAGGGAATGAGGAAGGAGACAAATAGAGGGATAGTAAGAGATGAAATCACCTGTCGACAAATGTGTAAATAAGGCGTGTGTCGTACTAGGATATTTAATTATTATTATAGTAAAAAAGAACTTGTATATTTAATGACAAGACGTTTCAGTCATGGGAGCTTTTCCAGTCTAATGCTGAAAAAAGACACATATGCAATCTTTTATTATGGTTTTATCAAGTCACAAATATGTTTCGCTCACTGAGAGAAACATTACACTGCCTTTTGTCATTTTTTTTCCATCGTGTCAGTGTTTTATACCATTGCCCCTCCAATCTAATAACTGTACATAGAGGAGAAAGCAGATACGTTTTTTATTTACCCGTCACCGAGAAGAATCAGTGTTACATTGGTTACTAAGAATGAACGTATACATTTTGGTTAATAAGAGAGGGCGAGTAGTGGCCTCACCTCTCGACACCTGATACCATCCTCACTTGACCACTATAAATGCCTCCTTCTCATCTCTTTCATTGAAAAAAAGCGTCTCCAAGAGAAATATCTTCTCAGTTAATATCCAAGTACTACACATGTCTTATTTGCACAAGGGAACCATCTGAGAGGAGAGGAGCAAAAGAAGAAAAAATGAGGAACTGGAGGAAGGAAAGATGTGATAGGGTAAGTCCCAGGAAAATAAAGTCAATTATCAATCGAAAAATAAGTCAAAGAGACTAGTAATTAAAAAAAAAAAGACGGGCTGAATAATTATTATTGGTGATGTTCCAGTAAGTGTTTGTGTGTGTGTGTATAATATATATATATATATATATATATATATATATATATATATATATATATATATATTATATATATATATATATATATATATATATATATGTCGTGCCGAATAGGCAGAACTTGCGATCTTGGCTTAAATAGCAACGCTCATCTTGCCATATAGGACAAGTGAAAATTTGTGTATGGAATAATTTCGCCAAAATCATTCTGAACCTAACGAAAAAAATATATTTCACTGTGTTTGTTTAGTATTAAATTATTGTAAACAAATCTAAAATATATTTAGTTGGGTTAGGCTAAAATAAATTGTTCTTGTTGTAATAAGGTTAGGTAAGTTTTCTAAGATTCTTTTGGTGCAAAATTATAAATTTTTACATCAACATTAATGAAAAAAATATATCTTTAAACGTATAAGAGAAAATTTCAGAAAGGACTTAATTTTAAATGAGTTCTTGCTAATTGACAAGTTTTACATATTCGGCACGACATATATATATATATATATATATATATATATATATATATATATATATATATATATATATATATATATATATATATATATATATATATATAAACAGATTAAGATAAAATAAAGATTTATTAAGGGCCTCTATATATGATATTACATGCTATTATATAGACTGATTACAATTAACAATAGTTGTAGGCATATTTTGACAGTAAATTATGTGTATTTAACCTAGTATAAACATCTAAAAAATCAAGTAGGTTGTCATTACGATTTCTTGAGTCAGTTAGGTTGTGTTGTTAGCCTAAGTATTAATAGATTACGGTAATAACTAGTATATACAAATGTATAGCACATGTGCAATATATGTGGAACCTTGCATGTGTTTTTATGAACATTAAAATGGTATAAAATACCGACAGGTTGTTAGGTAAGACACATATGCAACAGTTAGGTATCTTTATTTCGAAACGTTTCGCCTACACAGTAGGCTTCTTCAGTCGAGTACAGAAAAGTTGATAGAAGCAGAAGATACTTGAAGACGATGTAATCAGTCCATCACCCTTAAAGTTTTGAGGTGGTCAGTCCCTCAGTCTGGAGAAGAGCATTGTTCCAAAGTTTGAAACAATATGGAGTTGAAGTGACAGGATGGAGCCTTATATAGCGCCAGGAGGTGAGACGTAGGTCACTAGAAGAGGTAAGAACTCAGATGTTGGGAGGTCAGGTCCCTCTCAAATCCAGCCGTTCTCACTAGTGGAGGTTGTAGAAGTTGATTGCAATCAATCAACTTCTACAACCTCCACTAGTGAGAACGGCTGGATTTGAGAGGGACCTGACCTCCCAACATCTGAGTTCTTACCTCTTCTAGTGACCTACGTCTCACCTCCTGGCGCTATATAAGGCTCCATCCTGTCACTTCAACTCCATATTGTTTCAAACTTTGGAACAATGCTCTTCTCCAGACTGAGGGACTGACCACCTCAAAACTTTAAGGGTGATGGACTGATTACATCGTCTTCAAGTATCTTCTGCTTCTATCAACTTTTCTGTACTCGACTGAAGAAGCCTACTGTGTAGGCGAAACGTTTCGAAATAAAGATACCTAACTGTTGCATATGTGTCTTACCTAACATGTGTTTTTATGCATGTTTCGTTGTGGTAGAGCATACTCTGCTAGGATAGGTTAGGGTAGCCTGTGTTAGGTTAAACAAGTTAGTGTATATTAGGTTAGGTTAAGAAGTTAGTGTATATTAGGTTAGATTAAGAAGTTAGTGCAAATTAAGTTAGGTTAAGAAGTTAGTGTATATTAGGTTAGGTTAAGAAGTTAGTGTATATTAGGTTAGGTTAAGAAGTTAGTGTATATTAGGTTAGGTTAAGAAGTTAGTGTATATTAGGTTAGGTTAAGCAAGTTAGTGTATATTAGGTTAAGAAGTTAGTGTATATTAGGTTAGGTTAAGAAGTTAGTGTATATTAAATTAGGTTAAGAAGTTAAATGTATATTAGGCTAGATTAAGAAGTTAGTGCAAATTAAGTTAGGTTAAGAAGTTAGTGTATATTAGGTTAGGTTAAGAAGTTAGTGTATATTAGGTTAGGTTAAGCAAGTTAGTGTATATTAGGTTAAGAAGTTAGTGTATATTAGGTTAGGTTAAGAAGTTAGTGTATATTAAATTAGGTTAAGAAGTTAAGTGTATATTAGGCTAGATTAAGAAGTTAGTGGAAATTAAGTTCGGTTAAGAAGTTAGTGTATATTAGGTTAGTTTGTGTTAAGGAGGAAATGAAATAAGAAGAGCGAAGTAGGGAGGGGGCGGGTAAGGAATGCGTGATATAGGTATGTACATGTACTCGAACATTCCGTAATCATTGTGATATCAGTCACTATCACCAACACTATCATAAGCTTGGTCAGATAACAGTGTGAGAGGTTCTTATCACTCTCCCTTTGTTTCCTGAATGCTCCCGAAGTATTACCACCTGCATATAGTACATGAAAGCCACTTTCCTCAACTGCTCTGTGACTAGAAGGAATGTCCTAGAAACTAAATACTTATAAGTTTTAGTATAACAATTGTTTACACTTCGTGCACCAGATAAGTATCAGAGTTGCGGAAAACCTTGGCTGGGGCCAATTTTCATAATTCTCAATAACGGAAGAAAAACAAAGGTGTTATTGGAGGGTGTGTGACTGACAGCCTGAAGCCTCGCTCGCTCGTTTATGGCATTACAAACGTTGGTGGAGGAACGTTTGCCGTGTTGTGAAGCTAAGAACTAAATAGAGTGGTTCCTGGTACCGCCACCTGCCACCTCCATCACAATAAACCAGACGTGGGCTCTCATGCGTGCCAGAGGTCACTTGATTCTGTTTTCTACTCTCATCACTAACTCTACGAGGGTTGTGTGAATGAAAGTATCGGCAACGAGTTTAACAAAATATGCGGTGAAGTCTACAGAGAATTGTTGGTAGAACATTCTAAGAAATATACTTCAAAACCGGCGCCTACACAAAATACAAATCTCGTCTCCTATTGGTTAAAAGTTTGGATCTTATTCCTGTGCAATGGTGCCAGATCTCCAAAACATCACTGTAGTGTAGTATTTTTGTTTAAATGTGCATGCGTAGCTATCTTACATATTGTACTTTGAATTTTTATTGTAAATATTGTAATTTTACTCTAACGATATAATTTAAAACCTTAACAATAGATAATTAAAGCACTGATGTTCGTAAGTATGGCACCAGTGTAGCTTAACAGTTCTCGGAATCAACCAATAGAGCTTCGAGTCGCCATTCTGTGAAATCGATGATGTCACCACTAGCCAATAGGAGCGCTGGAAAGTGACGTGATGTTTCTATTTTTAGAAAATGACAAAATCGTATAAGATCTGCTCTCTCCCACCAGATGACTCATATAGCCACGAGACAGCAGTGAGGGTGGCTGTGCGCCATACTCGCTAGTGGTGAATAAGCCTGTGCCTCATAAGTGAGTCCGTCCGATAAGTGACTCATCGTGCTTCACCCACGTGCCAAGAACTGAGTGTTGTTTGTTGACAGACTAAGTTATGGAGGCAACCATGTATGAAGACGGATCATACGCTAACTACTCGAGGGAAAGCCTCACCCAGATGAAGCGTAGACTTACACTGGATCTTAACAACAGACCATCCAAGAAACAACGACCTGGGGGAAACTTCAACCCTCTTCTAACCTCCCCTGACCTGAACCAGCTGAAGTTAGCCTCCCCTGAGCTGGAGAGACTCATCATTCAGCAAGGTAGCACCATCCTAGGTAATGCTTCCACCACCCCGTCGCAGTTTTTCTTCCCGACCAAGACAGCCACCGTAGAGGAGGAGGAATTCGCTAAGGGCTTCGAGGACACGTTGGAGCAGCTGCACCACCAGGATGCCATCGCCGTCAGCAGCAGCAGCAACGTGGTGGTGACCAGCGTGGCACCTCCGGTCTCCTCAGCAGGGTTGCAATACACCCAGCTGGACGTGCCCCTACATCACGCCCATCACGCCCATCAGCAGGTTCCAGTCACCTCTACCGCGGGCGTGAGTCTATCAGATCACCAGCACCATGTGCCTGCGCACCTGGGACTCCTGCAGTCTGCGCACATCAAGGAGGAGCCCCAGACGGTGCCTAACGTGCCTGGCTCTCCGCCTCTCTCCCCCATCAACATGGAATGCCAGGAACGCATCAAACTGGAACGTAAGAGACTCCGTAACCGCATCGCGGCGTCCAAGTGTCGCCGACGGAAGCTGGAGAGGATCGGCCGTCTGGAGGAGAAGGTACGGAGTCTTAAGATGGAGAATGGCGAGCTTCAGGCAGTGGTAAACAAACTACGGGACCAGGTGTGTTCTCTCAAACAGGAGGTGATGGAGCACGTTAATTCTGGGTGTCAAATACCCTTTGTAACGCACCAGTGAGGTGAAGGGTAGCACCCCTTGACGCCCATCCACGCCCGCACGCCCATCTTGGCCTTATGTGCGTGTTTGTGTAGCCCTCGCGCGAGGCTAGCGCCCTGGCCCTCCTTAGAGCCACCTCTGGCAGGCTGTACGCGCTCATTTAATGCCATTTTTTTCGAGTGACATGTGGTAGTGGTGGTGTCCGTGACAAGACACCAGCAGCCACGAGGTATGGGTGTGGGCGTGCGGGCGGGGCTCGCTGGAGCATCCTTGTGGCGAGGCTGAGGGCCAATGTACCGGGGTTGCTCTAGTCAAGTGAGTTGTGGAAGTGCTCACAGCGCCATTATGTGCCCCACGCCCACCCTGCGCCCACGGCACGCCCGCCACCAGCCCATGGCATGCAAGCGGAGCCCACACCCGCGTTGCCCACACCACGCCCACACCGCGCCCATGGCATGCAATTGACACCCATCCCACGCCTGCGACGCCCACGCCTAATGTGATAAGTGCCGCGTGTATGCAAAGAAAAAAATGTGCTAAATACTTCCATTTGTTATATTACTGCAGTGCTTTATCTCTTACAGACACGAATGAGAGGTAATTGTTATTTCTGGAACACCCTGTCGCAACCTATACATAAATATATATACAGTATAAATATATATATATTTTCGTTGGTTTCACAGTTATTGCTGTTTCATATTTCTTTTATGCAGTTTTGATGTACAAGGTCAGTGATATCGTTCTAAGTCATGTGAGTTACGTACATTTGTGTTGTAACAAAGTATTAGCGTGTTACGCAAGAGACTACGAATGTACTTTTATATAAATTATGTATGTATATTTTATATGCAAAGAAAACTATATCTTGATTTATGCAAAAAAATGCGCAAAGCAAGACTTTTGTATGAAGAATTTTCTTATTTATAAAAGAAAAAACCTTACCTCTGTTTTTCACTTGCCTTTCCACCATTACTTATAAGTATACAAAATATATTTTTTGTAAGGAGTAGGGTTAGCGCTTTGTGAATATAACAATGTTATAAGTGGTAACAGATAAAGTATAGAGGCCGCTATTTAAAGACATGTTCTATATTAACATATATGTTAATTGTAAGGCAATTATGTCTTTAATTCAGTCTTGAAAATGTACACATGTATGTCACTAATGCATATGTATCTTTAAAACTTGCATGTCTTAACTGTTAACGAAAGTTCGCCTCTTACTAATTTGCCAACACGTGTTTTACCACCCCACTATGGGGGGGGGGGAGGGTGTTCCTTGATGCCTGACTTGACCTTCCAGTCCTTGGATCGAACCCTGATTGCTTCCATTTTCCCCTCAGGCGCTGTGACCCTATGGGTTTGGCGTTCCCCGTGAATATGGTAATATCTTGATGTACACGTGTCCTGCCAAAGTACACAGCTTTACAAACATGTCTTACAGCTGTATATGGCTGCCATCAGCTGTTACACGTCTACCACTAACATACCAAGACATACACGTCTGCCAGTAACATTAACTTCTGCCACCAACATGTATACATATTTATCGCTAATTCACGTCTGCCACCAACCCATACACGTGTCTGCCACCAATGTACACGTGTCACCAGCACATACACGTATGCCACCAATGTACACGTGTCACCAGCACATACACGTATGCCACCAATGTACACGTGTCACTAGCACATACACGTACGCCACCAATACAAACGTCTGCCATCAGTACGTACATGTTTGCCACCATGTACACGTCTACCACAAACGTACACGTGTACATCAACACGTACATTTAACATGTACACCAACACGTGCACACGTGTGCCACCAATACGTGCACATGTTTGTTACCAACAAGTGTACGTGTACACATACCGTACACATGTCTGTCACCAACACGCTCATATGTGCTCTTATACCAAGAACGGCTTTTGACATGCGGCTACCTGTAGTCGCTTCCTGAGGGGGTCACTGCCCCCCGCGACCCGGTCCCAGACCCAGCCTCTGCATTAATCACTTTATATATGCCGTGGGTATGTATTCTTCATCTTTCACATGTTCATAACAAACTGCGTCCGCCATTCTATCGACAACCTGACATATTCATGAGTGGAGGATCACTGTAGCAGGTATTAATAAGAGTGGAGGATCACTGTAGCAGGTATTCATAAGAGTGGAGGATCACTGTAGCAGGTATTCATAAGAGTGGAGGATCACTGTAGCAGGTATTCATAAGAGTGGAGGATCACTGTAGCAGGTATTCATAAGAGTGGAGGACCACTGTAGCAGGTATTCATAAGAGTGGAGGATCACTGTAGCAGGTATTCATAAGAGTGGAGGATCACTGTAGCAGGTATTAATAAGAGTGGAGGATCACTGTAGCAGGTATTCATAAGAGTGGAGGATCACTGTAGCAGGTATTCATAAGAGTGGAGGATCACTGTAGCAGGTATTCATAAGAGTGGAGGACCACTGTAGCAGATATTCTTAAGAGTGGAGGATCACTGTAGCAGGTATTCATAAGAGTGGAGGATCACTGTAGGAAGTCTACTGGACCATGCTAGACAGGTCAAACACACCCGCTCGTTCGTGTACCTGTTCAACTAAAATTTACAACTACCCAAAGTTCTCGCTTCAGTACCATTGAAAGTTTCTTCCATTAATCTACGATTCATCCTGAAGTTCCCCTTTACCTCTGATGTACCTATGACGGGTTTCGAGAAGTTTTCCTACTCCCGCAGCCCGGCTTGGGTCCAGGCTTGTCTGGTGCTTGCTTAGTCGTCCAGGCTGCTGCTGCCGGCGGCCCTCTGGCCCACATATCCATCACAGCCTGGTTGATCTGGCACCTGGCAGAGGTACTTGGTATCATAATTTGCCAATAGTTTTATGCCCTATCTCGATTCTATTTTCATCAATAGAACGAACCTGAGTATAACAAAAAAGTAACTATAAAAAAATAAATGGCCCATAAGATATTAAAATGTCTCTTAAGTATTGAGAGAGGTGTAAACACGTGGTTCAACAGCTGGGGAAACGGATGTCCTATCTCTGTTAATATTGTAAACAAGGCCATGATTATCTCCAAGACAAGTGAAAACGAACTGTTTAGTGCATGTTAATTTGAATGTGGTGTAAATGTTGAGGAATGGTCAGGAAAAAGTAAAAGTATAACTAACATGATATAAAGCTGCAGATTAGACAACGTCAAGGTCTCAGCTATGCTAAACGAATGTTAAATTTAAACCTACACATTATAAATATGGCAGGTGTGACTTTATATTTAAGAGCAACATCGTATTGAGGTCTTTCATAACTCAATGTGCTCCTTCCTTTCATAAGCGAAGGACCTGACTTCAGCCTTGAAGCAGCTGGAGACGTATGGAGAACTCTATACTTGTCAGTACTGTAGATCTAGCATTAAGTGGGTATCAGGGTGTTCACCGAGTGTTGTGGGCGGCATCCCGAGGGGCGGAAGCATGTGTGAGACAGCTGAGGTGGGATAAGAGCTCTTAGCTTGTACAGTCAATGGTGTAAAAAAGTAAAACTAAAGAGCAAAAAAAAAAAAAAAGGCACAATACCGTGACTGGAATAATACACAAATATCCTGCACGTAGGAGACAGAAGCTTATGACGACGTTTCCATTCGACCTGAACCACTGACAAGTCACTTGTAATGGTCCAAGTCGGACCGAAACGTCGTCATAAGCTTTTCTCACCTATGTGTAGGATATTTGTACATAAAACTAAAGAACTACAAAGAGATAAGGAGAGCGGTACGAGGCTGTGGTGGAAGCATACACCGTGTACTGGACAGGAAAGCCATGGCTGAAGGAGGTCCTACAAGCCAAGGACAGCATTGCGTTCACAAGTTTACCCATCCAGTTACTGACGAGACTCGACAATGCTTAACCTGCAGCATTGTAGTAGGCTCTCTGGTCTTGTCCCGGCCCGGGTCTTTTCCAGATGGTGACCCAGCGACCCACACAGCAGCGACGCTACTGAAGAATTACCCTGAGACGAGACTCCTCTCTTGTAGGTAACCAGAGTCTGCATTAATGGGTAGAAATCAGAGTGGCGAGGAGTCACAAGTGTCGTTTCAAAGCGGACACACTGTCCGCTTTAAAAACATAAAACACACAGATGTGAAAATATAACTGGCAAAAATATGCCGACAAATAAATTCTACGGATACAAGAAAACTTCAAAATCATATAGACATTTATTTGTTGAAAATAACACGTCTGTCATTATTCCAGATAGATTTAAGATCGTCTTTGTATTTTGAGTAATTTTTGTTCTATATACCTTGAAGACACCTTTAGGCTGGTCTTGCATTCTTCCTGAAACTCTGAATTAGTAGTTAAGCGATGAGATTCTCATCCTATCCCTTTTTTTTTTTTTAATTTGTATACCTCACTTGTGTCATTCCCTTCCCATCCTTCTAACTGACGTAGAATGGGAGGAAATATTCCTGATATAGAGGCCAGTTTCCAGTGGCTAACATGAAGACCACAAGTGCTCAGCTAACATGAAGACCACAAGTACTCAGCTAACATGAAGACTACAAGTACACAGCTAACATGAAGACCACAAGTGCTCAGCTAACATGAAGACCACAAGTACTCAGCTAACATGAAGACTACAAGTACTCAGCTAACATGAAGACCACAAGTACTCAGCTAACATGAAGACCACAAGTACTCAGCTAACATGAAGACCACAAGTACTCAGCTAAAATGAAGACTACAAGTACTCAGCTAACATGAAGACCACAAGTACTCAGCTAACATGAAGACCACAAGTACTCAGCTGACATGAAGACCACAAGTACTCAGCTAACATGAAGACCACAAGTACTCAGCTGGCATGAAGACTACAAGTACTCAGCTAACATGAAGACCACAAGTACTCAGCTAACATGAAGACTACAAGTACTCAGCTAACATGAAGACCACAAGCACTCAGCTAACATGAAGACCACAAGTACTCAGCTAACATGAAGACCACAAGTACTCAGCTAACATGAAGACTACAAGTACTCAGCTAACATGAAGACCACAAGTACTCAGCTAACATGAAGACCACAAGTACTCAGCTAACATGAAGACCACAAGTACTCAGCTAACATGAAGACCACAAGTACTCAGCTAACATGAAGACTACAAGTACTCAGCTAACATGAAGACTACAAGTACTCAGCTAACATGAAGACCACAAGTACTCAGCTAACATGAAGACCACAAGTACTCAGCTAACATGAAGACCACAAGTACTCAGCTAACATGAAGACTACAAGTACTCAGCTAACATGAAGACTACAAGTACTCACCTAACATGAAGACCACAAGTACTCAGCTAACATGAAGACCACAAGTACTCAGCTAACATGAAGACTACAAGTACTCAGCTAACATGAAGACCACAAGTACTCAGCTAACATGAAGACTACAAGTACTCACCTAACATGAAGACCACAAGTACTCAGCTAACATGAAGACCACAAGTACTCAGCTAACATGAAGACTACAAGTACTCAGCTAACATGAAGACCACAAGTACTCAGCTAACATGAAGACCACAAGTACTCAGCTAACATGAAGACCACAAGTACTCAGCTAACATGAAGACCACAAGTACTCAGCTAACATGAAGACTACAAGTACTCAGCTAACATGAAGACTACAAGTACTCAGCTAACATGAAGACCACAAGTACTCAGCTAACATGAAGACCACAAGTACTCAGCTAACATGAAGACCACAAGTTACTCAGCTAACATGAAGACTACAAGTACTCAGCTAACATGAAGACTACAAGTACTCACCTAACATGAAGACCACAAGTACTCAGCTAACATGAAGACCACAAGTACTCAGCTAACATGAAGACTACAAGTACTCAGCTAACATGAAGACTACAAGTACTCAGCTAACATGAA